ATTTGTTCCTTCTACAATGTTCCCATCTCAATTAAATTCAACCTCATCCTTCTTATAACTCAGGCCAAAAACCTGATATCATCCTCTGGGAGGCGCTGAGGGACTCACTTTCAAGTGATTTGAGGAAGGATTACCCTAAACTTTTTACAACAATGGCAGAATTGGTCATTTTGAAGAGATTATGCAGAAAAAAGAAAATTCCAGGGAACCAGAATTAGATATAATATCACAATTTTCAAAAGGAAGATATTATAGGCACTGAATTTGACTTTGATCAATTTTCAAACATATTTTATCCCACATGGTTACAAAACATTATAAAACATAAGTGATGCTCATTAGGTTTCAAGATGGATTCATTAAGAAGGAGACATAAAACATGGGTATCTATTAAATATCCTGTTTGGTTACCAGCTAATGGTAACTATCCCTCATATAAAACCAAACACAGATACTCCATCCAGTTTATCTAAATATCTGAGAGATATTTGAGAAAAGTCTTCCAAAAATTTCATATAAGCACAGCCTAGGTTCACTTAATGAAGGCATTTGGAATGAATCCATTGTGATAGGATGATAGACAACTTTAGATAAGCGTTTTTATTATACTCATTGGGGATATAGGAACCATACATAAAAAGCACTATCAGAGGAATGGTGACTTTTCCATTCAATCTCTCAAAAGAGAGCAATGATTTCCATTATTCTGCGGATGGCAGAATTGATACCAAGGAAATATATGTCAGATTCCTGGCCCTCAATTTGATACAAAGAGCAATTCACATTCTTCAAAAAAGATAATAAAAATTAATACTTTATTAATTAGTCAGCCATTAATTATTGGAAAGCATTTTTGTATCTAGTAATATATAAGGGGTTGTGGAATATTTAAAGAAAGGATAAAATATATTGCCATTTTCAAGAAAATTAGAAGAGAACTTTGCAATTATGGAGACATTTAAAGAACAATTCAAGGCTTTAGTAGTTAGGGTTCTTTGATTTTTATAGAACATAAAAGAATTCTGGCTTAAGAAGAAATTTTTAGGAAGGATATGGGAGGTTAGATAGAATTAAAGTAAAAGCCAATGAACCAGGGAAGTCCTGGTGACTTAGTTAGCTATGTTCTGCGTTTAAAAGGTGAAGTTATAAAATCATAGCATTATTTTTTCTTGGGTGCCTGTGGTCTGAGACAGCATCTGATTGCCTCCCCGGGATCATGGATTCACCTCTTGGTCAGGAAGGCAGTGCATTTTGCTTGAGAAGCCACTAAATTTGTATCTAATGGGAGAAAATTTTCCCCTAAAGAAAAACCAGAGTGTCTCTACCAGAGAAAGAATAAATGAATTCTGAACAGATAAACAGAAGTCCCCCATATATACCAAATAGTAACGTATCAAACAATTTAGAGGAAGATTTCCTGAATAGGGAAACATTTATTGGGGAGATAGAACTTTAACTAGACCTTGAAAAATTGACAGGATTTTGATATGCAAAGGAAAGTCTGTCAGACAGGGAAGGATAATCAGCAAAAACACCAGAAAAAATCATAGTATGTTTAAGGTATGCCAGGGAGACCCTCTTGACAGTAGTATAGGATCTCTATTTGGAAATAGTTAAGTATTTAGTTTGAAGGATATTCAAAGCCATACTGAGAAGATAAACCTCACATTAATGGAAAATGGATATCATTTAAAGCTCTTGATCAGAAGAGCGACAGCATAAGTTGGTGTGGTCAACAGAATAATGCCTCCTCACCCCCGCCTTCCTCCAAGATGCCCATGTCCTATTCAGTGGCTGCGTCATCTTACATGGTGGAAGGGACATGGCAGATGTGATTAAGGTTACATATCTTGAAGTCGGGAGGTCCTTATAACAACACTATGAAGTATATAACTATTTTTATGAGACTAATTTCTCAGATGAGGAAACAGGTACACAGTAACTTGCACAAGATTGCATGGGTAGTGATAAAAAGAAGATAGTAACATACACGCTTTAGCTTCAGGGCTGCTTTATCTGGGGTGGTCAGGGAGGCATGTCTGTGGAGGTAACATATGAACAGGAACATATAGCGGTAAAATGAAAGCCATACAAACACGTGGAGTCAAAACTATTTTTTATCTGGAACAGCAAGTACAAAAATGCTAAAGTTTAAGGGGTAGTAGGGTCAGTGTGGCTGGAGCATGTTCCATGGTCAGTGGCAAGAGAAGTCAGAGAGATACACAAGGGTAGGCAATTTAGGGAGCATAGACTTTGGTAGTGTTTCTTTTATTAAAAATGCAATAAGCTATCAGGTGATTGGGGATAGGATGTTGGTATACTTTGTATTTTGAAAAGGCCAGTTTATTTGCTTTGTGGAAAGTAGACTAAAGAGGGGCAAGACAAACCTGGAGAAAAGGTAGAAGGTTATTTTAATCATCTGTTTAATAATATGGCCAGGAATAAAGATATATTAGTACAGGTGATTAGAAGTGGTTGAACTTGGGCTATATTTAGAATACACTTCATATCACCAGGACTTACTTATGGTTATAACCAGGAAAACAACTAAAGTAACCCAATGGCATGAAAACCAGGAGAAAAAAATAAAACAAGATTTACAGTAGTAGTCAACACTGTCAAGTACAAAAGAAATGTAGAAAAAACTGAGGTAGAGAAAAAATGCCACTGGTTTTGACTGCTGAATGTCAAGATGGTTGAAAAAGTGTTTTAGTGGATGATGGGTTAGATTACACTAGATTAAAGGAGTTGGTGGTGACTGCTGTTGGAAAATACTTATCCTGAATCTTGGCTGTGAAGGAGAATAGAAATGAAAAGCTCTCAACTGTTCAATAATTATGTAGTTTTTCTCCTTGGACTTTTCTGTGTTTGTTAAAATCAATAGTAAAAGAAAGTTGACATCAGAGAGGAGAGTAAGATTATTTGCTAAAATAGAAGTTGGGAATAACCAATGGATTTCAGTTCTTCAAGTTGTCTCTGGCATTCATACCACAGATAACTGAGAGTTGGCTCTCACCCCAAGTTTCAGGAAAGCAACCAATCAATTCATGTGAGTCATGTGCTTACATAAGATGAAGTCAAGATTACAGGAGGAGGATATTGCTGTGGGAATATAAATAAGCCCCTTATCACTGGGTAGGGCCTCTTTATAAAACATGGGTTGGGCTATGGAACAGAGAGTTGAACTGAAGAACATGCTCAGGAGCTATCTTGAGAATTTGTTCCCCCTCCAATGCACATGACGGCTCCTGATCTGTTGTTAGTGACATGTAATTTAGAAATCCTGAGTAGGAAGTTTCCGTTAATGGGTATAAATCACAGTTGGCTTCTCAGAGGTAACAATTTGCTTCCCATGTTATACATACTGGGAAACCTAATGAGGGCTTGGAGTCAAAATAAATTGCCTCATTATAACATTGTTTCTGCCTTTTTAATTTGTGCTTCAGTCTCCAATAGTTCATAGCCTCCTTGTACTATTCGGTAGGTTGGGACCCAACCTCTAGTAGTTTATATGCTTAATATATATTTGTCTTCTGACCATTTATCATTCTGTGGTACTTAATAGAAGAGCTCAATATTTATTACTAATATGATAAGTAATAATTCCCCATTAAGACCAATCTAAATTGTAAAAATACCCAAACCAAGACTATCATAGACATAGTATTTGCCTTGTTAGCGCGCGCGTGCACACACACACGCACACAAGTACACATTATTTTTATAGCAATACACAGATAAAACTACAATCAATTATTTAGAGTTGAATGACAAAGAAAATATCTTTTTTTTTAAAACACAGAAATCATTTCTAAATCCAGGCCCATACAATCTGAAATTTAGGTCCTTAAAAACATGTAAGAAACTAAACTAATCTTGGACATCCAATCACGAGAGAAATCATTGAATTTCTTTATAAGTCCGGGACATCACATTGAGAAAATGTAAATTTAGCAAATAATAAAAAAGTGTGCCTTTTTCATAGATTATAATACATCATGTTGCATTTTCTTATCAGAATGCACAGCATTTGGGTTCAGCCTTGATATTTTCATCAGGAAACAAACCCAACAGGCCATGCCCCTTTATAACAGCCACGCATCGGTCTATAGCAATAGTAAAAGGATTTCCTGGTAATGGTTTTCAAACTGACCCTGGTAAACAGAGGGCAAGTAGAGACCTAAGAAAGATGCAGACCACTCCAGATTGTAGGTGACAATTTTAATAAGCAAGGGACTTCCATAGAAGGCTCGTCTTGAGCTGCCACAAGATGAGATCTCTGTGCCCACCCACCAGAATCATAAAAGCTTGCATAGCTTATATAGAGGTGCACTGTCCGGATGGTCTCAGCAACGCCTTACTTACTCAAAGCTACATCCTTGAAAATGGCTCCTACCAAGGGAACAGAGGGCAGAACTACATCCCAAGGTCAGAGAGGAAGGATGTGAGGCTAGACTTGTCATTGTAAGGAAATAACAGTCCTGCATCTTAGCCAGGGGAGGAGGGCATTGGGTATTTTTGTGATTGCGTCACACCCTGTCTCTGTGTTGACACATGATTGGAAAGTGGTTTATTTTTGTCATGTTTCAGGGCCCTCTCTGACTCTTCTTGATACTCTGTGGGTATAGTTTATACTATTTAGTCCTAGCTGTGAGTTGCCAGATGTCAGGGCTTCCTTATATTATTTTATTTTATTCTTACTTTTTAAAAAAATATATAACTTTATTGATTTTAGAGAGGAAGAGAGAGATAGAAACATCAATGATGAGAGAGAATCATTGATCAGCTGCCTCCTGCATGCTCACCACTGAGACAAACCGGCTAGGGCTTATTCTTACCTCTTTTTTGTTTTTTGCAACTAAGTTATTCTTACATTTAACAAGTATGTATGAGTTTCCAGATGCTTCTGGCACTGTGTAAAGCGCAAAGTATGGATTAGAAAAGAAGACGTGCAGGTGAAGCTCAGGTAACAGCAGTGATTACGAGTATGGCTTTGTTGTAAGTAACACTCTGTGGCAGATGGTCAAAACTGTCTGACAGAATCTGAGCTTGCCATAGCAACAAAGTCGAACCTATTCCAGTGCTCTCTCTTCTATGAGACAAGCCATTATATAAACTTAGACAGTGTTAAAAAAAAAAAAGAATATGGGTTTGGAGTCAAAGACCCAGGTTTAAAACCTGGCTTATCCCTTACTGTCTCCTTGGGTAAGTTATTCAATATCACTAACTCTCAGTTATCACATCTGTAAATAGGAATAATAGCTCCCTCAGAAAGTTGTTACTGACAGTAAATGTGTTAGTTATTCCCTCAGACCAGCGGTCGGCAAACTCATTAGCCAACAGAGCCAAATATCAACAGTACAACGATTGAAATTTCTTTTGAGAGCCAAATTTTTTAAACTTAAACTATATAGGTAGGTACATTGTTATTAACTTAATTAGGGTACTCCTAAGGCTTAGGAAGAGCCACACTCAAGGGGCCAAAGAGCCAAATGTGGCTTGCGAGCCGCAGTTTGCTGACCACGGCCTTAGACTAAAGAAGATAGGTATTAAGTATGAAATAATGACGCTGCTAAGTGCTACAGAAGAGGAACCAGAGTGTGCTATGGCGGTACGTTCCGGACCTACACAAATCTGAGGGAATCAGGAGAGTGTTCCACAGCAGCAAATGTTTAAACTGAGCCCTGAGCACATTTGAGCTAAGAGGAAGGAGTGAGAAGAATGGTTTCCTGTCCAGGTAGAAGAAGAATTTGGGCAAAGACTGAGAATGAAGTGAACATGTCACATATGAAGCCTGGGGGAATGCCTGTGTGTCAGAGTCCAGACTGCAAGGAGGTGAGTGGGGGGAGATCAGACTAGTGAGGTGGGCAGGTTAGGTAGGGCCTGTGGTCCTATTAAAGATTTTGGTCTGTCCTAAGAGCAACAACACACCGCCACCAATAGTGTCCTCCCTCCCCAACACCTTTTACAGGAACCACTACTCAACAGCTACAATAAGGAACTTGAATTTTTATCTATTTATTCCCATCTCTGGCTCCAGATAGGTTCTCAATGAGGGGGTTTGAGTTATCAGCTCAGACAACTAGCATGGCCTTAATTTGTGCCCCCCAAAATGTATTTAAAAGGAAGAGGAAAGAAAGGAGGATAGCAATGGGTAAGGTAGCTTTTCAAAGATTCAGATAGTAGAATACATGACACATTCTTCTTAAAATCCCTTAATCCAAGTATAAATGACCAAACATTTTAGGTTTGTATTTGAGAGTCCAGTGTTTCACAGATTTTCTTTTTTCCTATGGCTGTAATTTTTTTTCCCAATGCCTGCAATTCACTTAGCTACCAACTAGCTTAAGTGGTATGGGATCAACTGAGTATAAATGAGTAGTCTAAAATATGGATGTAGACCTTTTCAAATTACATATTTACATCTATAAAAATGAACATGATAAAATATTTAAAAACAAATATTAGTTATTTCTAATAATTTTTGTTTTCTACTCTTAAAATTAGTATAATTATCTACCATGACTTCTAGGATTGTGGTACAAATTACATGGAGTAACATATCCAATGGATATTCAGTACATGCATGTTACCTTCTTTTCTACCAAAAGAAGGGCTATTCTGAGGAGAAGCCAAGGTTAACCAGAAGGAGTGGACCCTTTACTGAAGTTGGTATTTGAGCCTAGGATCAGTTAGACAATCTGCTGGCAAATTGAACAGAAGCACATGAATGCTGTCTTAGATTCCATTTCTCATCAAAATTGCTCTCCTCAAAGAAGAGTTTTGCAGTTATGAATCCATAACTTGCCAGACTTTGTTCAGGTGAAGCTGAACAAAAAGCAAACAAAAAAAGTCTAACAAAATAAACTGCCCTAGGCTACCATTCATGTGATTCATTTGAATGGAAATGTGAAGTTATTTGAAGGCATAAGGAAAAGTTTATATTAAGTGATCTAAGTGAAATGAATTAAATGTCAAGAGATGAGTCAATTCTTTTCTCCGAAAACACCAGAACTCCTGTCGACTTTACTTAGAATCATTAGTCTTCCTGTAACTATTTCACCTTTTCCTTCACCTTGCCCTCACTTCTTTCTTGTACATTTAAATCACACAGACTCTCTCAAGACTGTAAAACCAGCATGCTGTTATTTAAATTTTGAGATTAAAGTTGGTATTTTTGCCTTTGATTGAAGGTATATGACTTTACCAGTAAACTTTCAATTTGTAATCCTTTCTTTTTATAAATAGTTGATACAATGCGTCAGAAGGATCCATTTATGTCAATAGTTCTGAGTAACTGATCATTCAAGAAATTTCCAAACTCTATCATGGATTACACAACAGAAGTATTTATAAACAAATCACAGTTGAAATAACACAATGTTTTGTTTTATCCATGTACGATGTGCAAGGGATAAATAAGGTTCCTTCCCAGATGGTGGCTCCTATGGGTGGTGACATCTGTGTTGAAATGATCACACAGGCTTGCACGCTATTCATGCCCAGGCTTTTTCCATCAAAGAGAAATGACTAAGAGTGACCATACCAGCTCATGGGGCCAAGAATTTCAGGACAGTCTATGCCTGCCCAGGCCCAACCAGTCATAGGTTTAGGGATAGAAACCCTTTGTGATTTTTATAATAATCACTTAAAACTGGGAAAAATTAGTAGAGTAGTCCCTTAAACTTGCTATTACTTATTACAGATGATAAGTAACAATAAACAATGACAAAAGTATGTTTTCCCCACAATTAGATATAATTTTTGTTATTCCCTAACTCTGTTCATATCAACACTGATTACATATTACTATTAAATTTAAAAGATCAAACAAATATATCTATGCCTAGGTCCTATTCCAGACAAATTAATCAGCATCCCTTGGGGTGACACTTGGTTTTTACTAGTAGTAGCTCCTCATGATTCTTATGAGCAGACAGGATTTGGAACAATGGTCTTAACCAATGAGATCCCTTGGAGAGCTTTATCAAGTGGAGATGTGTGGGTCTACACCCTGAGATTCAGACTTGATTGGTCTGGGTGTGGCCTGAACATTGGGAGTTTTGAGAACTCTGAAGGTGATTCTAATGTGCAGCCAGGCCAAGATGATGATCTTATAAATTGTCTGTATCTTTGGTTTAAACATCTGTAGAAATCTAGGAAGAGGAAGTCTCTTAAAGCAGTGGCTCCAACATTGGCCTCTTCAGAGAAAACAGCCATTTAGAACTATAATAATCCTTCACTTTTATTTAGCATGCAGCACATTTCAGAGTGTTTTTCCAAGGCATTAAGTTGGTATGGGGAAATGTCTTTAAAATAATTTTAAAAAATACAAAACCAATACCTCTCTAATATTGCCTATCATTTTCTTCTTTGTATTATCATCCTTAACTCCTCTAATAAGCTAAAAATCCCTTAAGGTTAACTTCTGTATCTTATTTACCTTTGCATTCCACACAAGTATTTGACAAATGATTTTACTTGGTAAGTGTTCAATAAATTTCTCTTCAATAAATGATTAGAGAATTCCATTTGCGTTGATTAATACTATCCAGAACTTCTGTGGCTGCCTCTGTCTAGGCCTTTGAGATACAGTGAACCTTATACTTACAGCTCCTGCTGTCATGAAGCTTACATTCCAGAGAATGAATGAAATGCTAAGATTTTCAACTTCTGGGGCTGCTGCATATGCCTTACAGCATTGCTGACGTGCCACAGCACAGCTGCAGACTGGCACAGCCCAACACACTCAAGAGACATGTGCCTTTTCCTTTGCTAAATGGCAGTCAACAATCAGCCCGTAGCATTGTTGCAGTCCTACTATTTTAAATGAACAACTACCTATTACTAGTAAGTGCTGTATTCTCAAAAGAAATGTGGCTTCATCAGAGGCATCTGGGGACTATAGCATGATCTGAAGAAATCAGACTCTCAGGCCTTTCTGATCAAAACTGCCCTTGGGAATCTGGATGGCTTCACTGGGGAGTTTTACCAAAGAAAAACTAACACCAATTCTCCCCAGACTATTCCAAAAAAAATCAAGAAGAAGGAACACTTCCAAACCCTTTCTATGAAGCCAGCATTACCCTAATCCCAAAACCAGATAAAGACACCACAAAGAAAGAGAATTACAGGCCATTACCCCTGATGAACATAGATGCGAAAACCTTCAGCAAAAGTTTAGCAAATCACATCCAGCAGTACATTAAAAAGATCATACACCATGACCAAGTGGGATTTATTCCAGGGGTGCAAGGTTGGAACAATATCTGCAAATCAATAAACATGATATATCACATAAGCAAATTAAAAGACAAAAACCACATGATCATATAAATTGATGCAGAAAAAATTTGACAAAATCTAACACTCTTTTTTGATAAAAACTCTCAGCAAAGTGGGAATAGAGGGATCATACCTCAACATAATAAAAGCCTTATATGACAAACCTACAGCCAACATCATACTCAGTGCACAAAAACTAAAACCATTTCCCCTAATAAGAGGAACAGGATAGGGATGCCCACTTTCACCACTCTTATTCAACATAGTACTGGAAGTGCTAGCCATAGCGATCAGACAAGAAGAAGAAATTAAAGGCATCCAAATTGGAAAAGAAATAAAAATGTCATTATTTGCAGATGACATGACATTGTAAATAGAAGACCCTAAAGACTCCATCAAAAAATACTACTAGAGTTAATAAGTGAATTTGGCAATGTAGCAAGATACAAAATTAACACCCAGAAATCTATGGCTTTTTTATGTACACCAATAATAAACTCAAAGAAAGAGAAATAAACAAATTTAAAAATCCCATTTACCATTGCAACAAAAAAATTAAGATACCTAGGAATAAACTTAACTAAGGATGTAAAAGACCTACACTCAGAAAACTACAGGATGTTGAAAAAAGAGATAGAGGAAGACATAAACAAATTGAAGAATATACCTGTCTTTATGGATTGGTAGAATCAACATCATTAAAATGTCCATACTACCCAAAGTGATCTATAGATTCAGTGCAATCCCCATTAAAATCCCAATGGCATATTTCACAGACCTAGAACAAACTCTCCAAAAATTTATATGGAAATGAAGAAAGACCCCAAATAGCCTCAGGAAT